GTTGAAATGTCTGTCCATTTGCTTCAGACCAGACACAAGTCTGTCTGTCCAAAAGTCTTGTGGTTACATAAGCGTGTTAAATTACAGCCCACTGTTGTAAATCTCAGTCAAAGTCTTCATTTCATCCAGATCTCCTTTTTCCTCATTAGTAAAAGTCACACAGTTAATTATTTCCCTCGCACCCTCCTCTTTCATATGCAGATGAGGTGCTATTCTGCCACACAGAAGGCTTTAATAATGCTTTAATAATGCATTCATTTGGATCGGGGAGCTGGAGTCCCATTTTCTGTTATTGGACAGAATGTGCGATCTGTGACAGCTTGCACAAATGCTCTTCCTTTCCTAGAGTCTGATCAGAAAAGGGTTTGGGAATAGGCTAAATTGTGACTGATATGGAATTGAATCAAAACATAGCCTGGAGTCGATCCTCCCGCAGATGTTTCCCAATTTCATTCATCAGTTTGGTGCTTGCGCAGTGCTAAAGCCCGAGGCAGATACGTCAATGTGAACCACGCGCATCAATCCTCTTAAAGGCCAGGGAGCCGGGGCAGGCTCCAGTCCTGTCCGCTCAGAGTTAGTTTTCAAGTTGTCGTGGGCATATTCTTTAAATTACAGCCCTGCTTTATATCATCCCCATTAGGTCGAGGCACTGCAAACGTCACTGCGAGATTTATTCCACTCTCGCTTTCTGTCAAAAATCATAACGGCAGCCGCATGTAACCCATCGCTTACACAGCTTCATCACTGTCCACTCTAGGAAACCAATAGCTTTCACTTTTTATACTCCTCACAAAAAGAGCCGTCTCACGTAATGGACTGAAACAAGTGTATAGCCTTCAGGCCTTCTCTGGAGGTATAGGTGACAGCTCCCTTTAAATAGACATAAAAGTTGGTTGTTGCTTGTGCCACTGGGTTTCACTGTTAACAGGGAGTTGTGTGATTTCAGGGTCAGGCTTCGAGGGAAAAACGTGAGGAGAGGAAACTTTGCCATTTGTGACAAGGGCATGTGAGGACTCGGGCTTTAATAGGCTATAATGAGTTATTTACCAAGTGTCATTTTTAACTCAAGGTTAATGTTATCTTAGGTTGTGTCTCAATTAATTTTTCTAAGGTCTTCTGCACATTTGTTTGCAGAGACTGATGTGCCATTATTTAAATGAAAACTGTCCACGCTGGTTTATAATAAATATTATCTGATAAACAGCATGCAAATTTGCCAGATAATTAGCATATTTATGAGTTTAATAACATCTATTGAACCTTCTGTGTAAATGTTCCCAAGTAAATTAGGGTGTATTCTTCTGAAATATATTACAGAAAAATATGGAATTGCCATTAGACACTTTTTTCTCTTAGAGTTAAACCGAAAACAGCACCTAAAAGTTTCTGCAACTGCAAAGACATGAATATTTAATGAGGCTAGCATTGAGGCAGTTTATGATTGGTTGGCTGTTGCTTAAATCTAACAAAGCCAGTCAAGAACATGGCTAGATTGTATTTCACCATAAAATCAATGGTAAGAAATAAATCAAACTGTTATTAAAGAAGATGAAGCCTAATTTTTGGACCATTATGGTTTTTATATTGTGACATTGTCCCCCAAAATTCTGATTACCATAATGCAAAAAAGTAATTCATATTATTTGGGTTTTATTTAAATTAGGTATTTATACATAATGATAATATTTGTTGTACAGCTCTTAATTTATGCTAATTAATTAGATTTTTTTGACAGTAATAGCAATATAATGTGACCTAGATATGTTTTTTTATAGGTTTCATGAGATTTGCAATCGAAGTATGACCAGGGCAAAAATTGAAAATGGTTATTATTTACTCACCCTCATGTCATTACAAAACTGTGTGTGCACAAAACACAAAATAATTTTGAAGAATGTTGGGAACCAAACAACGTTGGAGTCCATTGACTTTTATTTTAATACTGACCAAAAAAAGCACTTCTCGCATTTCTTCATATTTTTTATATTTCACAGAAGAAGGTAAGTCACACAGGTTTGGAACGACATGTGGGCGAGTAAATGATGATGTTAAGTTTTTTTGGGTGAACTATCCCTTTAACACAGGGTAATAATAGCCTTGAAAAAAAAA